CAGACCTACCTTCTGTGATTCATGCACAAGGACACCCAGGTCCCTCTGCATAGCAGCATGCTGCAACTTTTTACCATTCAAGTAATAATCCTCTTTACTATTACTCCTACCAAAATGTATGACTTCACATTTATTTACATTGTATTCCATCTGCCAGACCTTTGCCCACTCACTCAATGTATCTATGTTCCTCTGCAAAGTTTCACAGTCCTCTGCACACTTTGCTCTGCCACTCAACTTAGTGTCATCTGCAAACTTTGACACCCTACACATGGTCCCCAACTCCAAATCATCTATATAAATTGTAAATAATTGCGGTCCCAACACCGATCCCTGAGGCACACCACTAGTCACTGACTGCCAGCTAGAATAGCACTCATTTATCCCCACTCTTTGCTTCCTGTTAGTCAACCAATCCTCTATCCATGCTAATACTTTACCCTTAACGCCATGCATCCTTATCTTATGCAGTAGCCTCTTGTGCGGCACCTTGTCGAAGGCCTTTTGGAAATCCAATGGGTTCCCATTGTCGACCTTGCTGTAATGTCTTCATAGAATTCCAAAAGATTTGTCAAGCATGACCTGCCCTTCATGAACTCATGCTGCGTCTGCCCAATGGGACAATTTCTATCAAGATGCCTTGCTATTTCTTCCTTGATAATAGACTCAAGCATCTTCCCCACTACAGAGGTTAAGAAGATGGAGGATCATCCCCCTGCTTTTGCTTGTTCTTCTCTCTCAGCACCTGTCCCTATTGATGTGCTTTGTTTTGAAGGCTGACCATCTGGACGGACCAGGAGCCAGGCTGAAGCAAACCCAGGAGCAGGGTCTGTCCCTCATGGGAGAGAGGGAATGTGAGAAACTATCGAGAGAGCTGGGACACTGAGATGTGAGTTTGGGCCCAGTACTATACCCTGTGGCATGAGCAGTGGTGGCATGGGCAGTGGTTGCATCAGCAAGGTGGGCCGAAGCAGATTCATGGCGTCAGTGGAGTCGAGTTTGGGCTGGTGTGGTACCCACTGGCATTGGTGATGGCTGCATCGATGGGATCCAGCAAGAACTCAGAGGCGTGGGCATCGGTGGAGGTGGGATGGCGCTGAAGATTGGCAACTTTTGCGGCTGAGGCAAAGGGGGACTCGTGACTGGCCACAAGGCCCATGTCAGAGCTTAACAAGAGGGACTGTTAAAGTTAAACACTTTTTCTTTATTTCTTTAGTCTTCTACATTTATATTCTATGTTTTGGTTTATTTTTCTGTGTTTAAAGATGCCACCAGAGAGTGGTGACACAATCCAACACTTTTCACTATATTTTGTAACAAAATATATGTGATAAATAGATAAATAAATAAATCAAATTAAATCACTGGTCTAAGCCCTCTCAGTCAATGATAATTGGCAACTACCCATGACATTGGATGACCATTTTCCCCGTGCCCACCTCTATTTGAATGTTAGTTTTCATTCTTTCTAAGAGCAAACCTTATTTCCAAAACCTTGTACTCATAATAGGGTAGTCTGGCACTTGTTAGATCTTTTGTTTCTGCTTATGGAAGGATAGTTACTAATGTGACACATGGAACAGTGTTGGTTCATTAGCTGAGGGGTGGAAGTTAATTTGCAGTAGTTATTCTTTTCCATATTTGATCTGATGCCTTGAAATTTCATGGGTTTCAGAATCAATATTGAGGACTTCCAAGCTTACTCCCTTTTGTTTCCTTACTGCTTTTCTGCTACCTCTGGTATATACAGACTCATTACAATATTTTAAATTAAAATTACAGAGTAATTACAGAGCTTGTAATCTTGTATTAGTCTACTACAAGCCTCTGTGCTGTCTATTTGTGCACTCTACCTGCCACAAAATTGCAGTCAAAAGATTATTTTTTCCAAATTTATTTCATTTTGCAACCTGCACACACAGATTTTTTTTAAACTATTCTATTCTGAAACATCTGTGTTCAGGTCTTTTATACCCTGAAGGTGGCAACGCAGGTCCATAGAGTGGTCAAGAAGGCATACGGCATGCTTTCATTCATCGGACAGGGTATTGAGTACAAGAGTTGGCAGGTCATGTTACAGTTGTATAGGACTTTGGTTCGACCACATTTGGAATACTGCGTACAGTTCTGGTCGCCACATTACCAAAAGGATGTGGATGCTTTGGAGAGGGTGCAGAGGAGGTTCACCAGGTATGGAGGGCACTAGCTATGAAGAGAGGTTGAGTAGATTAGGATTATTTACATTAGAAAGACGGAGGTTGAGGGGGGACCTGATTGAGGTCTACAAAATCATGAGAGGTATAGACAGGGTGGATAGCAAGAAGCTTTTTCCCAGAGTGGGGGACTCAATTACTAGGCGTCACAATTTCGAGGTGAGAGGGGAAAAGTTTGAGGGAGATATGCATGGAAAGTTCTTTACGCAGAGGGTGGTGGATGACTGGAACGCGTTGCCAGTGGAGGTGGTAGAGGCGGGCACGATACATGAGTGGGCAGGGAGCAGAGGGATACAGATCCTCGGAAAATAGGCGACAGGTTTAGATAGAGCATCTGGATCGGCGCAGGCTTGGAGGGCCGAAGTGCCTGTTCCTGTGCTGTAATTTTCTTTGTTTTTTGTTCCTTGTTCTGTTACCCCATACCTCCACTCCACTGCCAACTTCCCACTGCTTTGTTTTCCATTTGCCCGACTTCATAAGAAACATGTTGACAATCACTAATTACAAGTGTCACATGAGAAGTAACACACGGATAGTCTAAAATCATGAAGCCAGGATTTTTTTATTCCACCAGCGTTAGCTCATTACAAACAGGACAGGAAATTAAAGATAAAGAAGGAATTATTTACACCATGTATATAAAATGACCATGTGAGTTACATTGGGCTGAGAAATTCCATGCTCTGTCTGCTCCCGCTTTCCCTTAACCCTTTCCCCACAAAATCATCCTTTCTTCCAGCGAGAGTTTGTTCAAATGCTGCGGCTGCCCTCCCCTACTGTCGCCATCTGCTGATGGAGATCCTGGCAAACTGCTCAGCTCCCTTGCTCAGTCCCCTCCGTCACATTCACCATCTGCTTCTGGAAGTCCGGTTACAAATAGCTCTAGTACAATCATCTCCAAAAGTTCATGAACATGACAAATCCAAGGTTGCTTACATAATATCATCTTGGTTGCCCAAAAATTGCCCACTTATTTTCTTACTTAGGAATAAATAATCATACAAATGTAATATAGGTAATTTTATGATAGTGTTCAAAGATGTGTATGTTGGGAATACATATTGAAATTTAAGGAATGTACAAGGAAATTGTCACTATACATCCCCAATGCAAGTGTGAGTTCAAAAAATTCAGGTCAACAAATTGACTACAATCATTGCAATTAAATTTTATATTAATGTATGTCACAATCTCATAATTTTTTTTGTAACGGATGACCTTGAGTTTAAATGTTGAGATTATTAGGAAGTGAATGTTATCTCCAAGAGCAAGTGTGAGTTGATCACAGAACTCTCTAATACCGATATTAGGGCCAGCTGCCTCCACCATTTCTCTCAACACCTCAGTGCACCCATCCAAACTTTCTCTAAAGCTCCCCATGGATTTCTCTCCTACCTCCCACATGCCCTCGCTAAATTCTTGTCTGGAAAACATATGTCCTGCTCTTGATCCTATTCCAAAACTGCTAACCATTCAACTTTCCTAATTGGCTCCCAGGTTAACCGATATTGTTAACAGTTCTCTACTTGGGCCTTCTCCTAGTTCTTATTTTCTTGGTGTCCCTTGACAATATCATCCAACAGCGTAACGTCAGTTTTCACATAATCATTAAAGACATTCAGCTTGAACTCATTAGCACCTCTCTCGATCACTCCTCTACCTCTATCTGGTCACACTGGTTGTCCAACATCCAGAAGTACAGGAGTAAAACTTTTCCCCAATGAATTCTTGGATGCATTGAAGGCATTATCTTTGGTCTGCAGGATGACAGTTTCCTTCCCTAAAAGGCATTAGTGAACCTGATGGGTTTTTCCAACAATCGACAACAGATTCATGATCATGGTTGGACTCTTAATTTCAGATTTTTTTTGTTGAATTCAAATTCCAACATCTACCAGGGCAGAATTTGAACCCAGTTCCCCAGAATATTACTTGCATGTCTGGACTAAGTATGGGATTGTGAGGATAGGGTCGGAGCGAGGGTCTGGATGGGATGTTCTTAGGAGAGTCGGTGCAGATCCAATGGACCAAATGGCCTTGATCTGCACTGTAAGAGGTTCTATGATTAAGTCATGGACAAAGAGTATGGAAAGGCTCAGGAATCTAACAGCATGGAAGGGGCAGTCAATACAAGGCTGATGGTATTGTGCACAAATGCATGCAGTATGCAAAACAAAATAAATTAGCTTGCAGTGCAGAATCCTCGTTCAGGATTCTGGTAAGATTAACATGCAAGTTTAGTTAACAGTTCAGAAGGAAATTGCAATATTTGCATTAATTTTAAAAGGGCTAGAATACAAGAGTGCAGAAGTACTACTGAGCGTTATAAGGCTCTGGACATTCTGCATTTGGAATATTGTGAGCAGCTTTGGGCCCTGTACCCAAGGAAGGATGTATTGCTTTTAAAGGAGATCTAGAAGAGGTTTATGAGAAAGATCCCAGGGACGAGAGGCTTGTCATATTTGGAACACTTGAGACTCTAGGCCTGCACTCGATGAAATTAAGAAGGATTAGCTGAGAGAAGCTTACAGAATACTGACAGGCCTGGATACAGTCGACATGAAGAAGACGTTTCCACTAGTTGGAGAGACTGAGACCTGAGGGCACAGCCACAGATTGAAGGGTCGACCCTTTAGAACTGAGATGAGGAGGAATTTCTTCAGCGACAGGATGGTTAATCTCTGGAACTCATTGCAGCAGAGGGCTGTGGAGGCCAAGTCATTGAGTGTCTTTAAGACAGAGAGATAGATTCTTGATTAATAAGAGGGATCAAGGGTTCTGGGAAGAAGGGAGGAGAATGGGGTTGAGAAACATCAGCCATGATCAAATGGCAGGGCCGACTCAATGGGCCAAATGGCCTAATTCTGCTTCTATATTTTATGATCTTATGCCCTAACATCTCTTTATGTAGCTCGGGGTTGTATTTTGTTTTCTAGTTCCTCAGCGGTGCATTGGGATATTGTTTAATTTAACAATAATATATAAATGTTAATAATTATATTTACTACTGAAGTAGAGGCAAAAGCACCTCCAACAAGATTACAGAAAAGGGAATTCAAATGCCTCTAAATTTAAATTTCTGTCATTCAATCAGATTGGTTTCAAGAAAATTGAAAATAAAAATGTTAATAATTATATTATAATATATGATAGCAATTTTACATCAGGGAATAATTTGAAAATCTACATCCAGGTCTTCCTGACTAACAGCACAAAAATTGTTTGGAGTACCTTTTCAAATATTCTAGCGTTACTTTTAGTTAACAGTGTGCCTGCTTTAAATTGTTTCATGTATCTAACAATGGAAATGTTAATAGATGTGGTTTAATGACATTCCCAATTATATTGCTAATCAACAATAATTTAATTAGAGCAGAGATGGTCAAGATCGTAAAGGAGACAAATGTAAAATTTAAATTATATGGTACAACAATGAAACATTCTTGTCCCACTTGAACTCTCACACTGTTATTCAGCTTGCGATGTGAAGTGCAGTACAGCATAAATTGCAGATTTCACTGATCTCTTCTTATTCCCTCTACTGAAAAGAAATTCAATTTAACACCATTAGTGCAACATAAACCTAATAAGTAGAAATGTCATTCTATACAAGGTACATTGAAATTTCAATTGATATTGATCACCCACAAAAGACAGGTTGTACAATTAGATATTAATTGTATATAATAATATGAACAGATTAGCTGGTAAAGATTATAGGAAAAGAATCCCATCAATAATAATAATTCGTTAATTAAACCTATCCACACTTTGCTGATTGGTTGGCGTGATCATTTATTGGGCAGTGTCCCCTGCATTTGTAGACTGATAATTGGTTAATTTGGTACATTAAACATGATTTTAACATTTGGATACTAAGTGTATCTAGTCAGACAAGTTAATCATAGAATCATACAGTACAAAAGAGGGTCTTTGACCTACCTGCACTAGTCCCATTTTCCTGCAATAAGCCCTTAGCCTTAAATGTTATAGCACTTCAGGTGTTCATTCAAGTACTCTTTTAAAGGTTGTGAGGGTTGCCTGCTTTCCAGTACATTCCAGAGCTCCACCATCCTCTGGTTAAAAAATGTTTTCCTCAAGTGCCCCTCAAATCCCTGTAAACAGTTTAAAATTATGCCCCCTCATTACTGACCCTTTGACTAAGGGGAACAGCTGCTTTGTATTTACCCTGTCCATGTCCCTTGCAATCTTTTACAACCTGAGCTTATCCAGCCTATCTTCATAGCTGAAATGCTCCACCCAGGCAACATCCTGGTCAATCTCCTCTGTACCAATTCCAATGGAATCACATCCTTCCTATCGTGTGGTGACCAGAACTGCATGCAGTATTCTAGCTGGGGCCTAGCAAAGTTCTGTACAACATCCATATGACCTCACTGCTTTTTTAATTTATGCCATGACTGATAAAGTTAAGCATCCATATACCTTAACTACCCTATTATCATGCCCTGCAACCTTCAAAGATCTGTCAACTAGCACCCCACGATTCCTCCATTCCTGTGAGCTTCTTAGTGCCTTGTTATTCATTGAGTACTCCCTTGTCTTGTTCCTTCTTCCAAAGTGAATCACTTCACGCTTGTCAAGGTTAAATTCCATCCACCATTGATCTGCACATCCAACCAATCCATTAGTATCCTCCTGTAAGCTCATACCTGTCTCCTCACTGTCAACCACTCAGACAAAGTTTATGTTACGTTGGTGACTTCAAGGCAAGAGTTGATACAAATCACGTGGGAAGGGTCAACAGAGAAAATAAAATAAGGTGGGCAATTCTAAACAGTGAAGGTGAGCTCTGAGCATGAGTTCTTAATCACCAAGATAGTTTTGCACCTTTCAAATCACAGCAATATGTCCTCCTGTTCTCAGCATTGGCATCTAATTGACTATGTCTCCATGAGGCATAGGGATAGGCAGAATGTCCACGTAACAATACATGTGTTGTGCTGACTGATCATTTTATTGGTTCACAGATAAACATTATGATCTATCCCCAGTTGCCCAGAGTGTGAAGGTCCAGTGCATTGCAACGTCTCAAGGCATGAACTGACAGCCATGATGGAATCCATCTCAGAGAAACTTGAAGGTTGCCTATGAGCAGCAAAAGTGGACACTTACTGCACTGAAGATGACTTGATGACTTCAAGGGGGTAGTTTACTTCTCTGCTTTAGGGGCCTTGGACCCTACCTCTTGTTAACATCAGCCTTGGTTTGATGAAGACAATGAGGTAAACCAGAAATAACTGGTAGAGAAATATCACCTCTATGTAGTTTAACATCAATAACAGGAATCATCTTCTTACCAAAAAGGATGTGGAAACATCTGCAGGACTGTTCAATACACACTCAGACAAGTGCAGGACACTTGGTTAAGTCAGAAAGCAGGCCAACATGAGTCATATGCACACCAAAAAAACTGGAAAAGATTGTACAATGCTCTGAAATCTCTCCCACAACACCAAACTACTGGTTCACCACCAATCCTCAAACTCGATGGTTAACGCTGTTCACGGAAAAAGCCCAAATTTAAGAAAGATGTGCAAATGACTTTATCCACATCTTCCATCAGCCTTCATGCATCAATAAAGAAACAATCAATTGGCTGCTACAGGTGTCATCAACTGCTTTCTTGATGGATCTTCTGCTCTGATGGAAATGATTGTAGAACGAGACTATAAATATGCTTCCATTGTCCACCTGTACAAGCAGAATGGATCTTGACACAACAATAGCAGCAGATCACTTCTCTTCATTTCTGGAAAAATCTTCTCTGGAATCTTCTGAACTACTTTGTGCAATATCTTGACCAGGATCTGCTATCAAAGTCAGTGTAGTTTCAAAAAAGATGAAGGAAATACTGAGATAACAAGATGTAGAACTGAATGAACACAGCAGGCCAAGCAGCATCGGAGGAGCAGGAAAGCT